ATTTTTATAAAATTTAGTATACAGGGAATTTCGTGGGCGATAAATCAATCTAACTGCGATTTATTTTCAAAAAATGTTGTTTTATTCGTGTTTTGAATAATCAACTTTATCGATAATTTTTGATTTTTTCTTTAAATAGCCAGTTAATTTTTTTTTTATTCTTTCGGTAAGATCGAAAAATATTATTCATATTTCGTCATTTTATCAATATGCAATTCGTATTTAAATATAATTTCAAAAAAACACAATTTATCAAAAAAAAAACCGAGCAAAGCTCGGTCATCCTCTAGTAATTTATTTATTGTTAGAATAGAAGTAGAAACACGATCATAATTTTCATCTGTTCTTGAACTAGGTGATAAAACTTGTATCTAAAGCAGAAGTGCTCCTCCTAAAAAGAACACAACAGCTTTAAGTACTTACATAAAAGTTCAAAATTACTAGACAAAAATTAAACCGATTAACAAAAGTGTAATAATGAAATTAATGTGTTAATTTACCCTCTGTATGTACTCAGTGTGTGCATGAGTGAATGTAAGAGGATGTATGTGGGTGTAACCAAAAATATTTAAAGTAAATTTAATACAGTTTCAGTGTCCTTATAAAGTTTAAAATTTGCAATCAATCAAAGATAGAAGATTTGTATTTCTTCTTGTTTAGGGGATATAATATTAAGGTGTTTTAATTTTATTGTAAAGAGCGGGACCTAAAAAGTACAAGAATCTATTGATTAATTTGGTTAGGGAATACTTTTACAGAAATTATGATTGCGTCGCCTCTGAACCAAATTATGATTGTAGATACATATGGAATGTTGTTTTATAAATAAATACTTTCCGGATAGTAAGCACTTCACACTTTGATAAAAATATGTACAGATTCTGAAAAAAAATTATATCACGAAAGGTGATCTCCCTCCCTCCCCTCCCTTCCAGCTAAGTCCTTGAATTCGGTCCTCCATGTTTGTACTGTTATTAAGACCTCCAAGCCATCAACAATGCGTCTATGCAGATGAAGGAACAATTATTACATTACGGTTGTACTACCTTACAGAACGGAGTGCACAACTACTAGATATTTCTGTCTCAAAGCGTGCCTGATAATATCTTCACGCTCTCTTTCTCATAATACGCTCTGCTACTAATAAAAAGTGTCCTCTAGAAATATCACATTCAATTTGACCAGCTACGGTATCAATACTTAGTGCAATCCACTACATGCGAATATATTCGTAGTAGCCCGCAGAGAACCACATTTATCGATTTTATACATATATAAAACATAGATCGTGGAGAAGTAAAACTGCTTCAAAGGAATTATCCGTGGGAAAGTTATTCAAACAGAACCAGCAGCCGCCCACCGGGCTGGGCGTGGTCCGACTCCGCCCAACGTCCCGCCCAACCTGAAAATTGTCTTTTATATTTTAAGAAACTTACGTAATATTGTCCCGGGGTGTGGGGTGGACATTTGTCTTTGACAAGCTCTCCCGGGTTATTAAATTTACTGGAGCTCCGCCATCCAAAATGGCGGAATTGTTTATGTAACGCTACAGATTATATAATGCAGGTTTCATGTACTGAATAAATACATTTAGAGTTTAATCAAATGCTCATTTCACAATATACGTTGTGTAGCTTGTAAAGAATAAAATGCCCGGTGTACTCGTATCAAGCGATACGGCTATGACGATGTTCAATTTCAACAGGCGGTTACAATTTTTTCTAATGAAATGCGCACTTAACAAATGTTTACGATTCACTTCCACGATGAAGGAATAACATCGTGTAATAAAAATCAAACCCACCAAAGTTTTAGTTTACGTAATTACAATAATGGAATTGAACCAAAGACCTCAAGTCTCAAAGTGCGTGGTGGCATGCGAGTTGTGGTGCATGTGGGCTCCAGTAGCCACTTAGGACTAGGTAGGCCGTAAGCACGTTCACCCATTAAAAAATACACATAGAACATTTTAGTCGTTCTGAAATAAATGTTTTATTGTTAGCATCATAGCAATATATTTTTAAATGAGTACATAGTAATAACATGAACAATTTTGTCCATCTACCATCAACATTGACATCGGAGAGGGTAATTTTGTAAAATACAAGGCCGGTTTTTAAATGATATTTTTAAATGATATTTTAATAATCAGTTCAATCAATATCAAATATTAGATTAGTACCAACACGTAAACTCATTTAATGTTATGTCTTTTTTTTTATTGCTTAGATGGGTGGACGAGCTACAGCCTACCTGGCGTAAAGTGGTTACTGGAGCCCATAGACATCTACAACGTAAATGCGCCACCCACCTTGAGATATAAGTTCTAAGGTCTCAACTATAGTTACAACGGCTGCCCTACCCTTCAAACCGAAACGCATTACTGCTTCACGACAGAAATAGGCAGGGTGGTGGTACCTACCCGCGCGGACTCACAAGAGGTCCTACCACCAGTCATTTAATGTTAGTCTTAAATAAGGGACACGTGTTCATTATTTTCGTTCATATCGTTTCGTCTTGTCGTAATAAAAAACCTTTAACATAAACTAGCGACTAATTTTAATTTCGGGTAGGCTTACATTAGAATGTAATCTTAAAAAAGTGGCAAATAAAATTCATAACTTTGTTTTCAGTAATTTAATGATTTATTTCAAGTTCGCTTAAACAATTCGTTGAATCGATGTCATTAAGATTTATATTAAATAGCTAGTTAGTGGGTTTGTCTTTCCATGTTTTTTTAACTTCAAATTACCAATGTGAAATTAAGTTTTGATTCTTAATATTTTTGTTACAGCAGTCTGTTAATTTGTCTTTTGCGGAATAGTTAGGCCAATCTACGTGATTTTTTCGATATTCGTTCGTGCAATATATGAGCCAATACTTGTTGACATTATAATTTAAAAAAAACTTAGATTATAATTATATTTGTGTTTGGACCTGACCATAAATTTGCATATGATCATACGTGAGCAGCGATGCTCCTTGTACAGAATAAAGAAACAGTAACACTTTAAGATGTTTTCTTCGGTGTTTGCGAGCCGTGGACAGTATTTAGTGTCGTGTTTGTCAAATGTCTTACAGCTCAAACATTCGCGACCAAGAAACTGTAGACTATTCGAAACGACAGCTAAACTAAAATGAAAACAATAAATGCGAGATAGAATACACTGAAAAATTAATTTTGAATGTACTTTTAAGGAGGTTCTTGCAGGCAACCTTTCAAACAAAAGTAATTATGAAACTTTCAAAGTTACATTTTTTTACATATTTGTTTTCATTGTTTAATGATATTATTGCTACGGTCGGTCATTGGTACAGTATTTAATTTTATCAGAGATACAATTATATTCCTACCTATAGTTAGTGCTCATGACTCACCTGGTTTTAAGCGGTTACCGGAGCCCATACCCATCACAGCGTAGATGTCGTTGCCAGCCTTACCGGTAGTCAGCGGCTCGGCTCTGCCCCCGGCATTGCTCCATGGGCGACGGTAACCACTCACCATCAGGTGGGCCGTATGCTCGTCTGCCTACAAGGGCAATAAAAAAAGCCTTGTTATTGCAGCCTCAATTGCTTTATAATAAAGCATTTGATGGAGCTGATGATTGCTTCGCTTCTAAATAGACAAGACGACAACTTCGGTAGGCAATTTATATGATGATACTTCTAATGGGAAAGTTAAAGGGTAGAATTAGCAGCAACTCCAAACAGCCTGGCTTGTATGAGTATGATAAATTCTATTATTAAAAATACTTAAGAAAAGAAAGACTATGTATATATTAATACGTGAAGCAAAAACTTTGTATCCCTTTTTACGAAAATTGCGCGGACGGAGGAGTATGAAATTTTCCACACTTATTAGAGAATATAGAGAAGAAGTGCACAATGCTAATATATTTTTAAAATAATGCATAAAAGATACATTAAATCAATAAAGAAAAAATTACACATACTACATACCGTGTATTTGACGCACACACGCATGCATACTATTTATTGTCAAACTTTTGTTCTTGACGTCTGTTGTCAAATTGAGAATAGATTAAATATTGCTTGTCTTTGTTAATATTTTTTATACTATAGTCTTGGCGAAATTTGTGATTATAGAAATATAAAATACAATCATAATAGTGTACAAATTTACAATTCCAATTAATTATAGTCGAATTTCGACTAATGCGGGACCTCATAATAGAGATTGCTAATTGCTATTGACCGCCTTACGCGCCCAGGACGATTGTTGTGTATAAATTAAAAAGTGCGCGTTCATTTTGCGCACTCGGGCAGCGCAGCGGGACGTGAGTAAACTTTATTATTACTAATATCCTTTTCAATTTATATGGTACTCTCTAAATTTGTGATTGCTGAAAAAAAATGTTTTTTTTATTCTGCTGTATATATTTTTATTCTTTCGTTTTGGTTAACTACATTATGCCCCTTTTAAAAATATTCATTAAATTAAGTTTTATAATAAGATGTCATTAAGATATTCATAGTTTATTTCTATAGTTTATTGCATATATTTATCGAATACGAACTAAAGGTTAAAATGTACTATCGTGTGATTTTGTTTGTACATATTTATGTAATGAGGGCGAATTTTCTCGAATGTTCTAGAAACCAAGTATTTGTAACCGAGTAACCATATTTTTGCACCTACCGTAAATCATAAATACGAAATTTTAATTATTTATTACAATCGTGCGTTCTGCTATTCGAACCTAAGAAATTTATTCTCCCACCCTCAAAGTTTATTTCTGCAATTACATTACATCATTCTAGAATCATCCTCGTCAAAGAATGAGAGTCCATCTGATTATATGTGGTGATAAAAAGCCAAGCTGTTTCTCTTCTCAGTAAGCCTTTTAATGTTCCTCAGACATTCCCAATATCCACAAACATTGGTGATTAATTACTATCGGGTGGACTGGTCAGCTATTGTTGGCAGGATAATTTTATATGATTCATCTTTAATTAATTAATTTTTGTTGTTTCCGCAGTGTGCCAGGGTACCCGCGTGCAACGCGACCGCCCCAACATGGTGAGTCCTTACTTTATTTTCTTTCTATGCATTACAATTATTTTCTTATGATTTCACTAAACACATTATACACTAAATAATACCCACCCCACCTACGGAAAAGATCGAGCATTTTAGGAGTGAAGTTTATACCGTCCGTATTATTTTTTTCAAGCGAGTAGGTTCAATAATAAATTGTCTTTGTGTTCCATTTACGTTAGGTACAGTGTGTGTGTGTATACTTCGATAAGTGTAATGAAAATATTTTGAAAGTTCTCAAAGAAATCATCGTGCCAAAGGAACTTTCTAGAAAATGGTGCAAGATGTTGTCGTCTTTTTAAATTTAATTCAAGTAACTTATCTTGCATAATATATAAATTATTATCTTGCATAATATATAAATTATTGTAGGTAGCCTAAAAAATAGTAAGCCATTTTAAATATTTTTTCTCTGATATGTGACGCGCCTGCATACTCTCTGAAAGGTTTTAGACTGAGCACCTACCACCAGTAAAAAAAAATGTGTAGGAGCCGTACCGAAGAATTATCTCGGCGGCCCTCATGATGTAAAGTGGCAACTCATGGCTCATGGTCATTACAATACGAGTACCTCGGACAAAACGAGTCACATGTCTGGTCGAAGTCTCAATTGTATTGTATGACCTTTTAAACCGGAATGCGAGAGTACTTTGCAACAGAAACTGGAATATGTTTGTACCTACTCGAGCTGTTTATCAATACAATCTACCAGCAGTAGACACCTGGCAATCGCAGTACGTTATATTATTCGGAGAACAACGCCACGCTGTCTATTCTCTGGTGAATGTTTTAGCCGCATTTTAATAGCTGTCTACCCTCTCAAAGATATTAATTAGGTTATTTTCTAAGCCACGCATACAAATATTTATTTATTTTTATTTATTTATTTTAAAAGCAATATCCTTTATTGGAGCTGCGATCGATACTTTGAACCTACTTTGAGCCATTACTTACATAGAAGACTACTCTGGCTCTGTTAGTCAACCAGTAATCAATCCAGCTAAATTGTATAATGGCCTGTCGGTCACCTATCAGATGGATCTACGACCTGGTGATCGCTGGGTCACGTTGGATGCAAGTGCCAACGGACCGGCCGCGCTGGACATCAGTCGGAGAGGCCTACGTTCAGCAGTGAACAGTAGACAGGCTGAGATGATGATGATGAAAATTTTAATTTTTTTTGTTTTTTTTTATTGCTTAAATGCGTGGACAAGCTCACAGCCCAACTGGTGTTAAGTGGTCACTAGAGCCCATAGGCATCTAACGGTTGCCCCACCCTTCAAACCGAAACGCATTACAGCTTCACGACAGAAATAGTGGGGGCGGTGATACCTACCCGTGCGGACTTAGAGGTCCTACCACCAGAGTATAATTCTAATCATAACATTTGTCATTTCCATAGTGGCTGGGGTCGCGTGGGCCCGGTGCGACGGCCGGCGGCGTCCAGCGACGTCGCTCGGCCTCTGGACTGGCCGCGCTACTGACGTGACTCGCCTCGACGACTCGCGACCAGACAAACGCGCATATCCATAATGGGGGACTTTGTAAGACATTTTTGTGACTATATCCATTTATTTATTGCTTGGTAGACGAGTGGATGATCTGCTAAGTGGCCCATGGACATCTACAACGTAAATGCGGCACACCTTGAGATATAAGTTCTAAGATCTCAGTATAGTTACAACGGCTGCCCCGCCCTTCAAACCGAAACGCATTACTGCTTCACGGCAGAAATAGGCAGGGCGGTGGTACCTGCCCGCGTTGACTCACAAGAGGTCCTACCACCAGTAAAATATTCTAAAGTACTTCTCGGTTTGAGGACAGTGCCGTAAGAGAAACTACAATAGATCCGCTGCCGATCGCATGCTATACTGATTCTATAGTCACGGCAGTCAATCAAAACCCGTGTGGCCTGTTCTTAGAAACTTTCTCACTTATAAATAAATATTACATTCACCACTTAATTTCTGCACAATCTTATTTTAATATTGCCATTTCTATTTTCAGATTTTGAACTCTGGATTATGTGGTAAATGACGAATTAACGTAAATAAATGTTAAGACAACTAACAATATGACTTGATGATATTATTATAGTTGTTTATTAATCTCCTATCCTATGGCCATTCATCAAACGACGTCGTGTTAAAAATTCCCATCGCGTCATTCGTCGAACTTTTAAACATTGCACGCATTGACAACCTCTTTAGTTACATATAACATCTTTATAGCGGTATATTTGCATGTAGTTGTAAGTTAAGTTCATAGTGATATGTCAATCGATCTTAGTTTTAGGCATGGCTGGCAGAGTCGCGAGTAAGTTCACTTGTAAAACTCATCGCCAATACTTTTCCGTTACTTTAGAATGTTTTTTTGTTTTGAATTCTTGTTCTGGGAGCAAGTTAAATATCAAGATCTACGCGATAATAAGTTAGCATTCCTTGTCAAACGTTTAGCATTTAAGACTTAATTGTAGTTTTACTGTTTGTTTTTTAATTAAAATGTAATTTTCATTCGCAACAGTCAGCAAATCCAGTATATAAGAGCGAAACCTTTATCTTTTGTTGTATTAATTTAAGTTTATATTCTGAGAGTGTTTTTGTTACGTATAAGTTTAAAACCTTACTTTTTCATATTATTTTTAAATACATTTTTTTCTTAAGATACCAGTTTTATTTACCCGCCCAGAATATAGTAGTTTATTTCTCTTCGGAATCCCCTTCCCCTTTGTTCATCGTAAAAGGAGACCAAAAAAAGCAAATAAAATGTAATAGCCATTGTCGACTTTAAATAAGCCCGAATACTAGACTAAAGCCTAGATTTGAACCAAGTGTAATTATACACTAGTGTTCCCGCAGTAGTCGAAATTTGACTATAAGTGTGGGAAATTTCACACTCCTCCGTCCGCGCAATTTTCGTAAAGAGGGGTAAAAAGTTTTTGCTTCACGTATTATTATATAGATAATGCCAATTCTTTCAAGAAGTCGCACATTATTTGATAAAATAAACTATATTTAATGTTAATAAAACTGACATTATTTAGATTGTAGGATTTGAGTATTGAGTAAACATTACTGGGTGCTGTAGAGGCGCTAATATCGCCCCTAAGTGTCTCGTGCCGGCGCCTTTGATCCCGCGATATTGACTCTGAACCGTATCTCATTTGCACTGAACACACTGGACGATCTTTCCTCGTGTTATTTTTTTTATATCAGAGGCTCGTGCACGGGCGCCATTATTGTATTTTATTTCGCTGCTACCACTACAACAATGTTTATAGGCGTCGAGTGCCACGCGATTTAAGTATTTGTTTTATCAAAAAAGACTGCGCTCTTTCTTTTTATTGTTGCTCTTGTATGCAGATGAGCCACCCGATGACCAGTGGTTACCGTCATGGACGTCAGCAATGCCATTGACACAGCCAAACCGTTGTATACACTTGAATACTTCTCCGCAAACTTCTCGTTTGAAGAACATACTTTAGCACTCAAGCTACACCGTAGAGGGGAGTTCATTCCAGACACGGATGGTAAAAAATATATGTGGAAGCGCACTCTGAGGGAACGCAGTGGTTCTAGGTACGAGGAAGGAATGAGTTTGCTCCGGTGGCGAGCGTGATGGGGGTGAGAACGAAAGCCTTATCTTCACTCATTTCGTGACTCATTCTGGTCCCTTGACGAGATGAGCGTCTACTGATGGTTAGTCGAGGTATTCAAGTAATTTAGTGAGATTGCTTAATTCTTTTTATAATTATATCTATTTGTAGCGGCCTGGCTCTACCCCTGGCATTGCTGAAGTCCATGGGCGACGGTAACCACTCATCATCATTCATATGTTGGTCTGTCTAAAAGGGCATTAAAAAAATTAAAAAAATAAAGCACAAAAAAATTATCAAAATATATTTATTAAAAAAATAATAACACCGTGTGGTTCGGACTTGTTTTTCCACGAGTTCGGTCCTCGGCTGTCCCCCGAAAATATTTAAATGAAGATCATCTGTTACTTTACGAGCTTTTTGCCAAAGCTCGCACCATCTTGTCCTACTTAAATATTTTTCTAAACTTACCTTTTTACAAAAGCTTTTATATTACGAAACTGTAAAAGAAAACATTTTTTTTGTTAAATCTTGCATTTAATATTTTTTTATTCGCATACTTGGATTTATGTGCTCACGACGCATCCATTTTGGAGTGGTTACCAGATTCGACAGACATCACATGAACGTGAACTATGAACCGTGAACCATCTGCCTACCCACTTTGAGGTCGAAGTCTCAATTGTTTTGAGTAACGGCTGTTAATAATTTTAAACCAGGATGCATCAATGCTTCGGGACGGAGATGGGCAGGATGGCGGTACCTACCTATCCTTAGGGGCGCACATGGTATCCTACCGACAGTTGTATCAATCCTAATGGTGTAGAAACTAGAGGTGTGGCATCTCCTAGCTTTTGGCTTACTTCCTGGCTCTGATTGAGTTAAATTTGCGCGCAGCATTGAATACTATTTGTTCTAGGATAACGGAGAGCATCAATACCATTATCAATAAGTTTTGTATCTGTAATTGTACGATTATTTACGTCTATTTCTATGACAACCATTGTAAAACACATAATAACAAATACTATGAAATTACTATAAACTTTATTGTATAATTCTTATTCTTTTTATTGCTTAAATGGGTGAACGAGCTCACGGCCCACGTGGTTTTAAGTGGTTATCGGATCCCTTAGAAATTTACAACATAAATGCCGCCATCTACCTTGAGATATGAGTTGTAATGTCTCAGTACAATACAACAGCTGCCCCACCCTTCAAACCGAAACGTATTACTGTTTCACGACAGAAATAGGCAGGGTGATGGTACCTACCCTTGTGGACTTACAAGAGGTCCTACCACCATATATTTTTTTTAATTAAAGATAAATATGAACCCTCTATCCAACCAAATGGATTAAAGGAATACCTAGAAATCAATGTAGCATTCCTATCCACATTGATAAAATCAAATGTCTACTAAATTTAATAAACATTAAAATTCTCAACAAACAAAATTTAAGCACTTTTTAAAACGCTCGTATAACTCGATTAGAGGGCGCATTACCATGTAAAGTACAAGAGACAGGTACAAATGCCTTTACAGAGTCATACCGTCGTTCATAAATTGAAATGAGACTGCGAATTAAAAAATAAATCAAAAGAGAATATTTCCCGACACGTCGCCGACGGTGAAATTGGAAAAAAGTACCGAGCGATGAACGAGGAGGATGTTTCCATTGATATCGAGAAAAACTCTTTATAATTTACAAGACTTATAGATTTTTAATCACGTTTCCTTGTAGCCCCGATAGATAGATAGATAGATAGATAATAAGTCCCACTATTGGTATATTTCTACGACAATGCATTCTGGTTCGATGGGTAAAGCCAACCATTATTAACATTTGGAGTTCCGAAAGAAATCATATGTCAATGATATTTTTTTAGCAATTCCCGAATATGCAGTTAAAATGATTAATATAATATTAAAATTCAATTAAAATTCAATAGTTCAAAATTACTGAAGGTAAACGCCTAATATATCGCCCATCAATCGATAAAAAGAAAAACGATTTCATCTAGTTCTATTATAGTTTTTAGTGTGGGACACGAAGATCTAATTCGAGTCGCTGCACCAACGCAGTGAGTAACTTTGATGTTTTTCCATTACTTTGTTGTATATATTTTCGACTTTCATTACTAATTCTTTATTTGTTAATTATTTGTTGATGGCTTCCTATACACTAGGATCTACATACTTTAGCCGTTGTAGTTTTTGCTGTGAGTTGAATTTGCAGTATCATTTAGAATTAAATCGGGATCATTGATCCAAAAGGGAAACAAAACTATGTTTTTTTTATCTCAAAACTTATAGTCCACTACCGTAGTAGGATCAATCGGCAATATTTAATAATAAATTATATGTAAATATTCAAGCGAAGCTTTTCTACGTTTTTATCTCGTGGTATAATGGATATGTGTATAGGGCAAGATAATAAGAATGTTCTCGTACATATTAAGACGCGCCCCCCCCCAGCCCCCACTTACCTCCCGCTCACAGCCACTCTGTAATACAAACCTCATTTAAATAAACATGATCAAATTGAAAGAATTACGTTTTGTTCCTTCACGAAGAGAAGGTTTTTTGTCGCCAAACCATAATGAAAATGTTACATCCAGCTAGCATGTGATACGCTTTCATGGGCAGAAAACTTTATATTGTTCTTCGTCTGATGCNCCCCCCCAGCCCCCACTTACCTCCCGCTCACAGCCACTCTGTAATACAAACCTCATTTAAATAAACATGATCAAATTGAAAGAATTACGTTTTGTTCCTTCACGAAGAGAAGGTTTTTTGTCGCCAAACCATAATGAAAATGTTACATCCAGCTAGCATGTGATACGCTTTCATGGGCAGAAAACTTTATATTGTTCTTCGTCTGATGCCACCTTGGAGTTCATATCGGAAACAATATTAACCTTGCACGCTGTAATTCCAAATATATGGTTTTGATAATCACTGGCGTAGCTTTTAGCTAAAAACGATTTTAATTGTTCACTCTGTTAGGCAGTCATTACATTGACGCCTTTTTTTGTGTCGCTCAATGCTATTTTATTTGCTCACCCCGTGACCTTCACCGTGGAGACGAGGCCGTCTACATTAGGCCGGAGCATACACACGTACTGTCTCCTCTGACCCTCGGCTCGACAGCGACAGTCGGTGCGGAGAGGGAAGAACTCTCCTTCTCTCCGCTGACTTCTTCTGCGAGATGATAAACTCGCAGAAGTCAAGTATTGCCTGCCAGGACCCATCGTTGCCGGGCATCGCAGCCAGGTTAATCGGTGACAGGTCCTCTTCCACGACTGCGACGGGGTCGGTGCGTTATTCCCGAAATCCAGAACAGCTCGCCAATGTATGTATGTTCGTGGGTGTCGTCGCGGTCGTCGCACTAGTGGCACTGTGCCTTCGGTTTTCAACCAGCGACATGCTATAGGTACGGGCCGAAACAACTGTGGTCAGTAAGCACCTGTGTCAGCTAGAAGTTGAGGCGTCGTCGGTCGCGGCCCACCCAGCCCGCGAGGAACCGGTGTACCCCGACGGTTCGTAAACAGCAGAAGATAGTTTAACACTTAAGTTTTTTTCAAGAACAAAACTTATTCCGAAGCACTTTTCCATTCATATTATACATTAAATTTTCTACCTACAAGCTTAAGCTAAATTTAAATTTAATA